CGTCGTCGTCGCCGTCGTCATCGTCGTCATCGTCGTCGTCGCCGCCGCCACCGCCGGCGTCGTCGCCGCCGCTGCCGTCGTCGTCGTCGTGGTCGTCGTCGTCGTCGTCGCCGTCGTCGTAGTCGTCGCTGTCGTCGTCGTCGTCGTCGTCGTCGTCGTCGTCGTCGTCGTTGTCGTCGTCGTCGTCTTCGTCGTCGTCGTCGTCGTCGTCGTCGTTTCTGGGACCATACCATCTGGGGGGGGGGGCCCGAGGAATCCTGGGACCATACCATCTGGGGGGGGGGCCCGTGGGCCCGGAGCCCGGGATCATATATGCACATATGGGGAGCTTCACGCAGTGTTTGTTTGTTGTTTTTCCCAACCCTCCTGCGTTGGGTACTCGTTTTGAATAGAGCACTGCGGTCTCCACCTTCCTTCCTTCCTTCCCGCCTCTTCCTCCTCTCTTCCCTCTTCCTCTCCTCTCTTGCTTCCCTTCTCCGCCTCTCTTCGCTCCTCTTCTCTTCTCTTCTCTTCTCTTCTCTTCTCTTCTCTTCTCTTCTCTTGCCTTTTACGTCATCTCTGGGGGGCTGCGATCTGCGGAACTGTCACCACTTTCGAGGGCTGCTGGTGGGTCCAGCGGAGTGAGGCACCACGGGGATTCAGATTAGACCTCGCCATCCCTGGGGGGGGGGGCTGCGATCTGTGAAACTGTCGCCACTTTCGAAGGCTGCTGGTGGGTCCAGCGGAGTGAGGCACCACGGGGATTCAGATTAGACCTCCCCATCTCTGGGGGGGGGGCTGCGATCTGTGAAACTGTCGCCACTTTCGAGGGCTGCTGGTGGGTCCAGCGGAGTGAGGCACCACGGGGACTCAGATTAGACCTCGCCATCTCTGGGGGGCTGCGATCTGTGAAACTGTCGCCACTTTCGAGTGCTGCTGGTGGGTCCAGCGGAGTGAGGCACCACGGGGACTCAGATTAGACCTCGCCATCTCTGGGGGGCTGCGATCTGTGAAACTGTCGCCACTTTCGAGGGCTGCTGGTGGGTCCAGTGGAGTGAGGCACCACGGGGACTCAGATTAGACCTCGCCATCTCTGGGGGGCTGCGATCTGTGAAACAGTCGCCACTTTCGAGGCTGCTGGTGGGTCCAGCGGAGTGAGGCACCACGGGGACTCAGATTAGACCTCGCCACCCCTGGGCGGCTGCGATCTGTGAAACTGTCGCCACTTTCGAGGGCTGCTGGTGGGTGGCCAGCGGAGTGAGGCACCACGGGGACTCAGATTCTGACCACGAGCAATGCTCGCGTGCCCGTGCTCTGCGGTTCGTGCCACGTGGCGCTGCGACTCGAGCTGGCGGTCGTCCTTCGGACCCGCAGAAACATCTGCTGAGCTCGATGAGCTAGGGGAACTACAGGAAAGAAATGCAGGAAACGGAGGCCTGTCATGCACTCGCCGATACCTCGTTGCTCTGTCATCGTCTTTGCTGTTGCATGATCCTTATCTGGCCTGCCGGCGCCGCGGCTCGAGCTGGCGGTCGCCCTTCGGGCCCGCGGGAACATCTTCTGAGGCAAGTGGACGCCGCCGCCTTACTTGCAGGCAGCGCATTGCATTCGCGGGCAGCAGCATGGCAGACCGCAGTGAGATCCTCAGTCGCGTGGTGTTGCCAAGCCTGGTGGAGACGCGCGTGATCGACCTGAAGTCCCAATCGCGCGTGCACTGTACCTGCGTGGCGTTCAGGCGCGCGCGTGATGCTGCTCGCTCCGCGTTCAACCAGTACGTCGCCAGTGCAGCTTTGGACGATGGACAACCGATTGATGATGCGCGACCCCGGCCTTGAGTTTCTTTCCCGCGGGCCGCCCGCAGACCTGGCGGCGCGCCTGCGAGCGTTCAGCTCCCGCGCTGAAATGTGCGGGAAGGAGGCGGAGAAGCTAGCGGGCGAGCTACGCCTCGCTCGTTCCTCTTGCACTCTAAACAAGTTTTATCATGTGGAACTCTGCGACGACATGGCGCAGGCAGCGCTGCGGGTTTAGCTCGCGCTTGAAAAGCGCGGCAGTCTTCTGTCTCCTCCCGCCACTTTCATCGTCGTCCTATTCCCCGCCTCACCTTCTCCATGCATGCTGCTGCTTCCGCGATGGCCTTTCGCCCCCCCCGCCCTCCATTCCATCCCTGTCCTACCCCTCGTTCCCGTGCCCGTTCTTCTTCGATCCTGGGGCCTCGAGCCTCGTTCTTCCGATCGTCGTCCTGTGAATCGTGCAACGCATGCGCATCCCATGTAGCTTGCACAGCAAATCGCCGCGTCTACACTGTCGTTGTTCCTGCTAATGTTGGCATACTCCCCTTGCCATTTGATGCGCGTGGGTTGGGTGCGTCGCAGGGTAACTGTTCCCAACCATCCTGCGTTGGGTACTCGTTTTGAATAGAGCACTGCGGTCTCCACCTTCCTTCCTTCCTTCCTTCCCGCCTCCTCCTCCTCTCTTCCCTCTTCCTCTCCTCTCTTGCTTCCCTTCTCCGCCTCTCTTCGCTCCTCCTCTTCTCTTCTCTTGCCTTTCACGTCATCCCTGGCGGGCTGCGATCTGCGGAACTGTCGCCACTTTCGAGGGCTGCTGGTGGGTCCAGCGGAGTGAGGCACCACAGGGACTCAGATTAGACCTCGCCATCCCTGGGGGGGGCTGCGATCTGTGAAACTGTCGCCACTTTCGAGGGCTGCTGGTGGGTCCAGCGGAGTGAGGCACCACAGGGACTCAGATTAGACCTCGCCATCTCTGGGGGGGGGCTGCGATCTGTGAAACTGTCACCACTTTCGAGGGCTGCTGGTGGGTCCAGCGGAGTGAGGCACCACGGGGACTCAGATCAGACCTCGCCATCTCTGGGGGGCTGCGATCTGTGAAACTGTCGCCACTTTCGAGGGCTGCTGGTGGATCCAGCGGAGTGAGGCACCACGGGGACTCAGATTAGACCTCGCCATCTCTGTGGGGCTTCGATATGTGAAACTGTCGCCACTTTCGAGGGTTGCTGGTGGGTCCAGCGGAGTGAGGCACCACGGGGACTCAGATTATACCTCCCATCCCTCGTGTGGTAAACTGTCGCCACTTACGAAGCTGCTGGGGGTCCAGCGAGTGAGGCACCACGGGGACTCATAATTAGAACCTCGCCATCTCTGTGGGGCTGCGATCTGTGAAACTGTCCAATCCAACTTCGCGGCTGCTGGTGTGTCCAGCGGAGTGAAGGCACCACGGGGACCAGATTAGACCTCGCCATCCGTGGGGGGCTGCGATCTGTGAAACTGTCGCCACTTTCGAGGGCTGCTGGTGGGTCCAGCGGAGTGAGGCACCACGGGGACTCAGATTAGACCTCGCCATCTCTGGGGGGCTGCGATCTGTGAAACTGTCGCCACTTTCGAGGGTTGCTGGTGGGTCCAGCGGAGTGAGGCACCACGGGGACTCAGATTAGACCTCGCCATCCCTGTGAGAAACTGTCGCCACTTTCGAGGCTGCTGGTGGGTCCAGCGGAGTGAGGCACCACGGGGACTCAGATTAGACCTCGCCACCCCTGGCGGCTGCGATCTGTGAAACTGTCGCCACTTTCGAGGGCTGCTGGTGGGTGGCCAGCGGAGTGAGGCACCACGGGGACTCAGATTCTGACCACGAGCAATGCTCGCGTGCCCTTGCTCTGCGGTTCGTGCCACGTGGCGCTGCGACTCGAGCTGGCGGTCGTCCTTCGGACCCGCAGAAACATCTGCTGAGCTCGATGAGCTAGGGGAACTACAGGAAAGAAGTGCAGGAAACGGAGGCCGGTCATGCACTCGCCGATACCTCGTTGCTCTGTCATCGTCTTTGCTGTTGCATGATCCTTATCTGGCCTGCCGGCGCCGCGGCTCGAGCTGGCGGTCGCCCTTCGGGCCCGCGGGAACATCTTCTGAGACAAGTGGACGCCGCCGCCTTACTTGCAGGCAGCGCATTGCATTCGCGGACAGCAGCATGGCAGACCGCAGTGAGATCCTCAGTCGCGTGGTGTTGCCAAGCCTGGTGGAGACGCGCGTGATCGACCTGAAGTCCCAATCGCGCGTGCACTGTACCTGCGTGGCGTTCAGGCACGCGCGTGATGCTGCTCGCTCCGCGTTCAACCAGTACGTCGCCAGTGCAACTTTGGACGATGGACAACCGATTGATGATGCGCGACCCCGGCCTTGAGTTTCTTTCCCGCGGGCCGCCCGCAGACCTGGCGGCGCGCCTGCGAGCGTTCAGCTCCCGCGCTGAAATGTGCGGGAAGGAGGCGGAGAAGCTAGCGGGCGAGCTACGCCTCGCTCGTTCCTCTTGCACTCTAAACAAGTTTTATCATGTGGAACTCTGCGACGACATGGCGCAGGCAGCGCTGCGGGTTTAGCTCGCACTTGAAAAGCGCGGCAGTCTTCTGTCTCCTCCCGCCACTTTCATCGTCATCCTATTCCCCGCCTCACCTTCTCCATGCATGCTGCTGCTTCCGCGATGGCCTTTCGCCCCCCCCCGCCCTCCATTCCATCCCTCTCCTACCCCTCGTTCCCGTACCCGTTCTTCTTCGATCCTGGGGCCTCAAGCCTCGTTCTTTCGATCGTCGTCTTGTGAATCGTGCAACGCATGCGCATCCCATGTAGCTTGCACAGCAATCGCCGCGTCTACACTGTCGTTGTTCCTGCTAATGTTGGCATACTCCTCTTGCCATTTGATGCACGTGGGTTGGGTGCGTCGCAGGGTAATTTTTGCATGTTCGTTTCTCAGCGCCCAAGTGATGGGCGACAGTGAGGACAGCACAGCCCACCCCCACGCCCTGCCAGGATCCCCACATCCTGGCCTGGTGATCCAGGGGGTCCTGGGTGGGGGTGAGAGTGGTTCTTTGGCCACCAAAAACCTTCACCTCCCCAACTCCGACCAGGACCCCCTGGGATCACCAGGTCGGGAGTGGGATTCCTGGCTGGGGGTGGGTGTGAGCTGTGCTGTCCTTAGACAGCCCCCCTCCCGATCCTCCGCCCTGTCCTCGGCCGCCCGAGGCGAAGACGTGAGCTCGCCGTCCGCCCATTCGAACTCGGCGTCCACCAGCGCCGTGCGCGGGCTTGCGCGACAGCTTGCGGGGCTGAGGGCGTCCCTGGAGGCGCCTGCGGGGATGTGGGGCGGCCGATGGCATGTGTCTACATCCGTGCATGTGAGTACTCCTCCTCCTCCTCCTCCTCCTCCTCCTCCTCCTCCTCCTCCTCCTCCTCCTCCTCCTCCTCCTCCTCCTCCTACACGTTATCATCGAAGACGCCTGCGGCGAATCAGCGCCGCCCCTCGCCTCGTCAGAGCTGCCGGGAGGAAGAAGCGAACAAAATGAGCCTGGTCCACCACGCCGCCTTATCACTGGGCGTCTTGGAACCCTCCTGGGGCCCTCGTGCCTATCCCTCCTGGGTCGTTTGGGGGGCCCCTTGGATCGCCTCTGGGCTCCCCTGTCTGCCCAGGGAGCCCTGCGCGGGCCCCCGACGGTGTGTGCTCTCACACCAGTCTCTGCTCCTCTTACAGGAGGGGGACGAACGAGCTGGAGTCGGGCAGGCCGAACCAGCGCCCCCGCTCTGTGCCCCCTCGGCCTGGCCGCCCACTCCTCCAGCACCGCCCGCGCTTCCTCCGCCTCCGCCTGCTGCTCCGGTGGCGCCGCCTCCGGCTGCTCTCCTGGCGGCCCCTGCAGGCACGGCGGCGGCGGCCCCAGCTGTGCAGCAGCAACTCCCGAACTAGAAGGAGCCACAGTCCCCCCCCCTCCAGCCCCCAGCCTTAACGTTGGCAGGCGTTGCGCTTGAGATGTTGGGCTCAAGATCTTTCCGGCCCCCTTTCCCCTTGAACGCTACGCTCGTTCAGTATGACGGCCGTGTTCTCAGACGATTGTTGCAAAGCTGTTTCCTGCAGCCGTATGACCGACATCTGCACCTAAAGAATGGAGACGAACACCGACGTCAGTTCCTGCCTTTGTTGGCGTCGCCGCGGGCGTTGCCCATTCGATACAAGAAGTCGCCCGCCCAGCAGCGGGCCGCGCCGGTTTCGGTGAACATCTTGCTGTTGGGCATCGTGCCCAGCTTTTCCGTGCCCATTTCGGGTTTGCAGAGAGGAGGGGGATGTCGCTATTCTTCCGAAGCGACGACCCCCAGAGGTCTGGACCCTTTCCCGGGGACCAGGTCTTCATCCGGGAGCGTTTTGGGATGATCCCGAGGCCCAGTGAGGACCCCCAGAGGCCGAAAACGGCTATCAACCTCCCGTCGTAGTTTTTTTTGTTGTCGAGGCGAGGGGAGGTGGGGTTCGTACCAGTTTTCCCGTGCCTGCTCTTTTCGGGCGTGCCAAGACGAGGGAGACACGGGGAGACGGCAGAGTCCCTCGCCCCCTCCTTCTTGCCAGGCAGGTGCGTTCTGGCTTTCGGTGCGGGCTCTGTGCCTTGGGCTGCGCACAGGCTTTTTGGCCCTTTGGACCGAACGTCCCTCTCACGACAGGAGGGAGACACTCGTGAGCTGACATCTAGCACCCGTACCTTTGCGACGCCCAGATTTCTCAGGGTGGAATTCCAGGAGGACTATGGGTGTCTGTTGTTGGATGGGGGTCCCCGCTCGAACGGTAGCCCCCCTCGGGCCCCCTCGACTCGCACCCACACCTATAGCACCTTCATTTCCGTGCCCTTCCCCCTTCCCCTTCTCTGTAGGTTTGAGAGCGTGTTGTTCTTTCATCATGGAGGGAGACACTCCTGGCCTCCCAGATGAGGTCCGAGTAGACGGGGTCGGAAGATCGCGAAGCATCGCCGATGCATCCGCGATGCGGCTCGATGCGGAGCCCGACTTTCCCCACCTGGACGTTGCCGATGCATCGCGGATGCATCGGCGATGCGGCGAGCTACTCCTGAGGCCCCTAGACACGGGGAGGCGGCAGAGTCGCGAGGTCCTCTGACCCCACCTTCTCGGACCCCATGTGGGAGCCCCTCAGACACGGGGAGGCGGCGCAGCCACGAGGTCCTCTGACCCCACCTGCTCGGACCCCACGCGGGAGGCCGGAGTCCCCTGCCCCCGCCCCGCCGCAGCGCTCGCGCCGCCGAGGGCGCCGCTGCGCTGGCCTCGGGCCGGGCCCTTGGAGGCTTCGGGCGCCAGGTCGCACTCCTGCCCTCCGCCCCTCGGCCCCTCGATCCTCTTCGATCCTCCTCCTCCTCCTCCTCCTCTCCTCCTCCCTCCTCCTCCTCCTCTCCTCCTCCTCCTCACCTCCACCTCCACCTCCACCTCCACCTCCACCTCAACCTCCACCTCCCTCCTATTCCTCCTCGATCCTCCCTCCTCCTCCTCCTCCTCCTCCTCCCTTCTCCTCCTCCTCCTCCTACTCCTACTTCTCCTCCTCCTCCTCGTCCTCCTCCTCCACCCCTCCTGCTCCTCTTCCTCCTCCTCCTCCTCCTCTCCTCCTCCTCGATCCTCCTCCTCCTCTCCCTCTTCTCCTCCTCTTCCTCCTCCTCCTCCTCCTCCTTTTCCTCCTCCTTTTCCTCCTCCTTTTCCTCCTCCTTTTCCTCCTCCTCCTCCTCCTCCTCCTCCACCTCGATCCTCCCCCTCCTGGTTCTCCCTCCTGCCGCGCAGGTGCTCGAGGCGCAGGCCTTCTGCGCCGCCGCCTCGGAAGGCGGGCCTGGGGGCCGCCCGGGGCAAGGGCGGGACGGGCCCTGCCCCCGCCGGCGCCGGTGGCGAGACACACCGCCTGCTACAGAGGAGAATGCGGAGGAGGAGAAGGAGGGCATAGAGGGGCAGGAGGGGGAGGAGGAGGAGGAGGAGGAGGAGGAGGAGGAGGAGGAGGAGGAGGAGGAGGAGGAGGAGGAGGAGGAGGAGAGGAGGAGGAGGAGGAGGAGGAGAGGAGGAGGAGGGGGGAGGGGGAAGGAAGGAGGAGGAGGAGGAGGAGGAGGAGGAGGAGGAGGAGGCGGAGGAGGAGAGAGGAGGAGGAGGAGGAGGAGGAGAGGGAGGAGGAGGAGGAGGAGGAGGAGGAGGAGGCGGAGGAGGAGGAGGAGGAGGAGGAGGAGGAGGAGGCGGAGGAGGCGGAGTGAGGAGAAGGAGGGCACAGACGGGGGGAGGGGGAGGAGGGGGAGGGGGAGAGGGGGGAGGGCAAGTCAGGTGCGCTCGCGTCATACCTGACGTCATGCCCCTCCCTCCCATCCCTTACCATGGCGTAGATCCCTTCCCTATTCGCACAGTCAGATGTCGAGCAAGGCGATGATCGCGAGAGGGTTCGCGATGCATCGTAGAGCACAGCATGGCATGGCATGGCGTAGAAGAGCACTGCAGAGCGTATAATGTCATAGCATGGCGTGGCATTGCGTAGTGAAGCATTCCATCACAAAGCATTGCAACGCAAAGCATGGCATCGCACAGCGGCGCAAAACAGAACACCGCACAGCATGTCATGGCAGGGCACCGGGTTCCTTGGAGGGTAAGTGGATAGTCTTTGAAGGCTCTGGGCCAGTCTGGAGTCGCGGCTCCATGTTTAGCTCCCTGGGCTCCGCGAAAATTTCCCCCCCCCCACACGGCGGGGCTGATTGGGAGCACCCGCTGGCTCTGCTTACAACATCGCCTTCTGAAAGCAGAACCAAGGTTCCCGCTTGATGCTTCCTCCAAGCGCCGCCGCCCCGAAGTTTTTTGGCGGCTTTCTGCGGCCCAAAAGCTCAACGAATCGACACCAGATGTGCAATCACTTGCGATGTTTCTTTTCTGGGGGTTTTCTTTTGTAGATTCTATAGGCTTACGCCACATCTGCCGACCCCTTGAATGAGTCGGGCACATTATTCCTGGGACTCTGACGCCGCGAATCAACATGACTGTTACGTCCTGATAACCTCTGGGGCTTCACCATCGCGAATCAACGTGACTGCTGCGTCCTGGCAATCCGAAGTCGCACCAACCCTCCATCCTTGAAATCGCTGCGAACTTTGAAGACGAATGTGAGCGGCGCAGCGGTTGCATATTTCAACTTCAGGGTCATAAATCGTGAGGAGGTCTCCTGCGAAACGCCTGGCCCGCCCTACCGACTCGTCGTGAGGTGCAACAGGGAGGATGTAGTTAGAAGGAAAGGGATGGATGAGGAGGAGGAGGAGTCAGCCGGAGGAGGAGGTGGAGGAGGAGGCAGGAGGAGGAGGAGGAATGCGGCGAAGGAGACTGTGTCGGAGGTGTGCGAGTGAAAAAGAGAAAACAGTAATGTGAGTGAACGCAGAGGAAGCGAATCGCAGGAGGAAAGCGGAGGCGGACGCGATCCTGCTGACGTGCGCGGCTTGCGGAGATTCCTTCGCAGACGCGACATTTGTAAAGAAAGGACACGGCAAGAAACACCGAGAGACGGAACAGAAGCGTGTGGTGTGCGCGGATTGCGCGCGCCTGGGCTTCACGGCGCGCAGTTGGCAGGCATAGCAGTGCAGCGGCCCGTGCCAGAAGACATTGCCGAAGGCGGCGTTCTCTGCGGCCAGCAGCCACGTCGCTCGCGACGAAAAAAAGGGCACCCTGAAGTGAAAGGCATGCAGATGATGCGTATGCGGGTGGCCAGTTGTGGAATCGAATCAACAGTGGCGCTACACGCGCTGAGCTCGGTGGCAAGAGGACGAAACCAAGGAGAAGGACAAAGCTGAGAAGGAGGGGATGGATGTGGGGGAGGAGGAGCAGGAGGAGGCGGGGAGAGGGAGGAGAAGGGTCAGGCGCAGGAGGAGGTGGAGGAAAAGGAAGAAGAACAGAAGTAAGATGGAACGTTTTGACCTGGTCTCGCAGCCCTTCAGATCCGTGCAGGACAATTCTGCCCCTCCCCCGAAAACATATTGTCACCCGGACGGTGAAATCTGCCATGGCGTTTGGTCCATCCCGGCACGGTTTTCGGATGGCGGATGGGGCAGGTATCGGTCAAAGCACCAGAGGAATGGTTATCGGATGGCCTTCGGTGCATCCCGCCACCGTGCCTGGGTTGTGGGTCAGAGGACAATCGGATGGCTGATGAGGTCTCGTGGGGAGCCTATCCGGGCGTCTTGGAGGCAGAAACCAAGGAGAAGGAG